AAGTCATATCTGTATGGCGCTGTGTATTCAACACCGTAATTGTCTGGATCACCTACGTCAATATAGAACCCTGGCCTGTGATTTCAGCTAGTACAGCAGTCTCACCAACTTTAACCCAGATCACAGTTTTTGAAACTGACTGCCAATCTATAGAGCAGTTCAAGGTTGCATCTTCTCCAGGTTTGGCATATTCTATACCAGTTGGTCCAATCAAAACCTGACTATTTACTGGAAACAAAAATAACCTAAACCATGTTACAAGATTAATCCATGACATGAAGACAAATATTTCAACTATTGAATTACAACAATTTATTTTTTCAATAAAGTTTGAATTAAATATTTTGGTGTTTACAATTAGTGCATATTAAGTGTGGGATTAAACTGACATTGATATCATCTAATAAGATAAAGTATTATAAATATGAATATTTGTGTCTGCTAAGATTTATTATATACTCTTATTGTAAGATGTGTTTTTGAAATGCTGTTACTTAACTCCTTGGCTATTATTACTGATTTTTGGTTCACCGAGTATCAGGGTAATAGACAGAAAATGAAAAGTGCATGACTAGATTGAACAAAAAGAAAGTGGGATTTAAATTTATATATTTATTTTTATCATTTTGTAAATTATAGGTAATTTTTAATCAAAAGTTTAGGTTTGTGGAATTTATCTTGTAAAATAAATGATGTTACATGTCTAAAATGTTGAGTGACTATCTACAAGTTACTCAGCATCCTTAATAAATAACTTATATAACCGCTGGACTGAAATCGTGATCATAGACGAACAACCTATCACGGTATACTAGTACAGAATATGATTTATACTACAAATGTGACATTGTTTTTACCATCTCCCTTGAGTGTGAATTGCAAAAGCCGTTATAAAGGGTATATATACAATTGTGAACAAATATTTCACAAAAGACGCCCATCGGGTTTTTAATAACAAATAAAATCGTAAACGTGAGAATTTAAACACAGCTAAAAAAACGTATTCAATTTTGCTCACGATGAAAGCAAATTGTTGACTAAAGCAGGGAGCTACAAACAATGCATCTTCCTGACTAAAAGTGAATTACTGGTCACCTTGCCGACTTGCAAGATTGGCAATAGAAATGAAATTAAAATACGTACTGGAAAATAACATAATACGAACTGTTCAGGGACAAAGAATTATGATTAAGATTAAAAATTACATGATTTACAAGAACTACCCCGAGTTTACATTGTAGCGGAGCTAGGGACGGTGTTCGTCTGTGCAGTTTGAGTCAGCCATAGCACACACCCTAAAAACTTACCTGTCGACGACCAGGTGACAAAAACCACAACGAAAAGCAATGTAATACTCCTCAAAATCATTGTATTCTACTACTATGTGTAAATAACTTCAACGTTGATCTTCTTTTAGATATAATTCCCAACGACCTGAAAAAATACGTATCGGTTATTGTAGATAGAGAAACACCTACTGCCACTACATAGATCTGGCTTTCTCGCTGTGACGTCAAACGCACCCAGAATGCCATGCCCTTCCGGGGCATTTCAATCTCCTTTTGTATGGTTTTTGTGACGGGCTTTTGTTTACTCGTTTGAATTTTAAAACACCACAGTACCGGTAGTTATCTGATTACTGATATTCGAAATTCTCGGTAGCATGTTTTCTGTACAACTGACTTCAATACGTTTATACACAAACACTCTGCAAATGCAAGATACGTTATTATCCGTCAAATTTTCCAAGTAAAGGCCAGGGAACATTCAAACTCGTCACTCGGTGTACGGCAAAGCGTGAGCGTCGGCGTTTGACACTTGTGAGTCTCATTGTACTATTTTGCTTTCACATGGCAGTTAGCACTGAATACTTCCAACTGATTTAATTAAATACAGTACGTCATTCATCATATTTCATCTACTTGTGTAGAAACCACAAAAAATGTTAAAATGGTCAAATTTTATCTGAGATTGTAATCAAGTAATACTTTTGAAACGCACATAGTATTACATGTAGTACTATTATGCCTAACTGTCGTTTATCGTGAGGGCGCAGTATACAAAAGTCTACTCGAGTCAACCACCGACGACATGTGTTTAGTATAGAATACAACTGCGTTATATGGTTGAAATAAATGTGATGGAAAATTCACAACAACGTTCACTGTATATCTGTCATATATATAATTATATGCCAAACGAATTAGAAAATAAAACTGTCATGTTGACTAACAATGAACAGTAATACTGGTCGCCACAAAATGAAGCTTCATTGCACACAGTTGTAGTGTTTCGAGAAAACGGCATGATTTAATGCACTGTTTACTATACCTGGTAGAAACAGGATTGAAGTCTTCGGAACCTCAAATAAGAGTATGCGTACTTGATGAATATTAACTTAATATCGCAACGGCTTCAGTGATTCCCTGGACATATATGTTAGTTCGTTCCTGGCAGCAAGCGTTTCCCTAATGAGTATTGACATACAGAGGGGGTACCTATATTGACTGATTGAATTAGATCAAATTAACACATGCTAAACGTGTGAACTGAGAAAATGTAATGAGATTAGGCAATCGTGTGTTAATGTGTGGCCGCGGTGATTCACGACAAACTTCACACACACAAATGCCAGACCATCAACACTTGGCTCAAAGGTGAGACTTGACAGCCCGGGGGCGCTAACAATTATGTCAGGTACAGACGATTGACGGTTGCACAACGCAGTAAATTACAGGACGCAAAAATATCGCTTCAACTTATGTACCGTTTTCCTTTTTACTTTGTCACGTCTTCCTGACATTATAGTAAGTCTTCAAGAATGTGAGGTACTGTGCACGTAGCGTTAACGCATTACATCACATAATTGGAATTCACTAATATACCATAGCCACGGTTAATTCACCGATTGTGACGATCATACATTGATATGGTGAATTGATATTGAATACATCTTATTTCGCACAAAGGCTTGTGTCAAATACTCTTCAAAGAATACACTCATGAAATCTTCGTTTTAACGGGTTGGTACAATCGGAGGCGAATGAAATTTGCTCACCAATGAGTCATATAAGGAATAATTTTTATTCCTGTCGCAAACGGTGTGCATCTTTTGAAATGGAGACGATAATTGTAATCTTTGTCATCATTCGTCATAATATATGTTTCGTAATCATTTCTGTGACCATAGATGATATGATGAAAGTGTGTTGCTTTTAACAATCAATTTCTTTTGTAAGTTAAACTCCCCCTCCACGATAGTGAATAGCAGTCGACCTCTCTACACACCTTATATACGAGTGTTTAAGTACGGGTTCTTATATCATCTTATATCATTATAGAGTTTTATTTCGATAAAAAAATCTGTACATGCTCTAGTCGTGAATAAATTAGGTTAACAAATTGGGGGAATATCAGTTTTCTATTGGGCAGTTTTGTTTACGTACAAACCTCGTCAATTCTGCATTTATGGGTTGTCAATAGATTGACCCTTGATCGAGATCGACATTTACGTCATACGATTTGGAGGTAGCTTAAAGTGTTATTTTTTTAAAAGTTGTTTGCCGCTCTATCATATATATATATATAATATCAGAGGTAGATTACTTGGGGTTTGCAACGCGCATAGTATCGTATGGTGACATCATGCCAAGATTCCATTCAAGTCTCATCTCGTAGACTGATGCTACGACCTTCTGACATGACATAGGCGGTTTGTAATAAAACAATAAAACATGTATTGCCACATTCATAGTGAAAAAATATAATACATCGAAAATGTACAGAAAATACATTTATCGTGATCCCTCATATCGTGAGCAGCTATTTTGATCCACCTGGGCATCCCAGTATCCTAGTTACCTCGGGCATGCGCATTCGCAAATTATTTGAATTGCACGTTTGTTCAATCTACTTCGAGACCTCGTGTGAAGAATTGGACGAGACTGGCTATCTATACTAGTATTTTATTCATCGATGTTGAAAAAGTCGTGAGAAAAGTTCGGTAAGGGAGGTTGCTCTCCAAATAAGATAAGTTATACTTGTCGTAAACGGTTGAAAAAACACATAGACACTACTGTGTTTATCACGAAATAGTGTTAGGCTGTACCTCAGAGTAAATTCCAAGCAGCGGATACGGTCAATTAGTTAATTGCGCCGTTTAGGGCAGCATACACATACTGGAAGGCAGACCAGTTGTGATGATTTCTTGGGAAATTATATGGAGATTATTTTCATGGGTAAATGGGTCATCATACTAGTATATATGGTAACATGGAATCACATCAGATGATGCTAAGCAACATCAGTTTTATTGTTTAAACTCGCTTTCATGGAAAATATACACTGCCATGGTACAGCCGGAGTGTATCAAGTGCAGCATTTCAAAAAAAATATTGAAGCCTTGTTTCCGCACCTAATGCCGAGTCCAACTATGTCAAGCGTGTAATTCAAAAATGAATTGCGAAATATGTAAGTCCGGAGCAAAAGAAAAAAAATCGTTCGCCAACATATGATGTTAAATCACACACGTGGTATATATAACCGTGAAAGGTCCATAAGTGAAAATGTAAAAATGTCAAACGTGTTAACGTACAGGGCTTCCACACAAGTAATCGAGATTAACCAGGGACGGATATGGGATTCTGGAATTGGGGGGGGGGGCGAGAAGTTGGCCAAAGGCCAAGTTCGCGACCGCCGATGGCGCGAAGCCCTGTTGGTTGTTAAAAATAGGGGGGCCGCCGCCCCTCAGCCCCCTCTAAATCCGCTCATTTTAACGCTCTGTAAAATTGTGACGTGCAATGTTTGCCAAAACTTTAGAACCTCATAAACTACATGTAATTGTCAAATGTGCAAGTACATCTATCAACAATGTAAAACCAATTTTATTCGTCTATTGTTTTTTAACATCTAAATCATGTACATAAAACACCAAACCAAATGTGTAAAACGTGCAGTATTGTTCATGACAATAGAAGTGAAGTGCACTTGGATCGACGTCTTCTGCTACATGTATGCTTGAAAATGTCACCATATTATTATATCCCCTTTATAAAGGTGGGATATTTGTAAATATTTCTTATCAGTGAGTTAAATGTGCTTTCTGTTCACACAGATCCATTGATTTATATGTGACGCTGCGATCATATTCAGTCACCTACCAGTAGTTTGGGGTTTCCACAAGAAACCATTGTTTTAACTCAGCGATCGTGTTCACACGTGTCTCATTCCACTTAAATCGTCGATTTACTAAAACCATTATGCATCTCATCAAGGCATGCATAAAGTAATTTTTTCTATACGGTTCTGATATTTGGGGTACTGGCATTCACACTTATTCTAATGTTAAGCGGGTAAAACCCCAGCTGAAAAAATCGCCTGAAATTTTACAAATTCACTGCACATTTAGCATATAGAGATTAAGTAAGAGAACCACAGTTATTAATTGACATAAAAAATGATCTGTTGAAATACTGTTCACCTTCCGGAATACAGCCTGGTGAAAGCATTTCATGAATAAATACACTCTATCTTAGACTTACGGACTGTGCAAGCCATACAGTGGCGGCGACCGGGGGGGGGGGGGGGCGCCGATCACCCCCTCGATAAAAATGTTGGGTGTGGGCGTCGATCCCAAAATCCTTCGTGTCAGCAATACTTGCCCGTCAAAATGCAGGAAATAGCGTTTCAGAGGGTCTAGATTTGAAAATTTTTAAGGGGTAGGGGGGTGCGTGGTGAGCACCTCATGCACAAATTCGTGCCTCTGCTATACTATAAGAAGAGAATTTAGTAGAAGAAACAAATATTTTGTTTTCGTCAAATTCTAACGCAATTTATAAAACATCAACACAAAACTATCACACGTATAGAAAAACGCGAAGCTCGACCCCAGGGTTATTTTAACACACTGTTGAAAAATACATGCGTTTAACCCCATGTCCACCCGAGTTAGTTGGGCTCGGTCTCGAGTTCCGTGTTCATCCCCAAGTTGAGACATGCATGAACACGAACTCGGGGTTAAACAACGCCACCTAACGTTCCTGAATAATATCGCTTCATTATACTACAAGATGACAGACAACACGCGAACGGCTTATGAGCACTGCGATACTTACTAGTGATTATAAATTACCATTTGGTAAGACAGAGCATTTTAACGTTGACGGAATGCTATGAGACTACATGATATACACCGTATTGTCGGCAACGGCGTATGAGTGAGGGTGAAAAGTTTAAGTTAAGTTCAATTTTAACTCAAACTCAACGCAACCAAAAAAAAACGATAATAGACGTAGTGATCATGTTCTGTTTCTGACGTCGAAACCGCCTCGAACGCAATAACATAAACGCGAACGGCATGTGAGCACTGCAATACTTACTAGTGATTATACATTTCCATTTGGTAAGACAGAGCATTTTAAAAGTTTGTTATTTTACGTGTAAAAACCGTTTATGACATACACATTATTCAAAGATGCAATATACTAGTAGTCACTATATGTATACACTTCTGACCTTACGGGTAAACTATATTTGATTGATCAAACATACCAGACTGGATTGTACTGTGAGGGTCAAACTCCAGTTTGCGGTTCACACACGACTTAATATATAAAACTAAAGGCTATCACTGATGTGCAACATTGCGGCACTATAACGCAATGTTTAACTATTTTTGCGCTATAATTTAAGTAAATTGTTGAATATTTAGGTATGTTCCAATTATTAAACAAAGCATGGAAAAGATTATGCAAGGTTATTTTGTGAAATTGACAATTGTTGATTTCATGTTCAAAGGATTGCACAATACACGGTTGGGATAATACAGTTTGGGGTATGATTAAGTTTGTGACAGCCAGGGTTTGTATAGTACTGAAAAAATCTTGGCATTTTGGGCGAGAATTATAAGTATCAGCAAATATTTTAAATATGGCAATGTTTATCCAAATTACTACCAAACCTTATTCCTACACATCAAATGTATAATTATATTATATACCTGACACTGACAGCATATAACTACACATTAAAGTTAGTCTTTAAATTCCAAATATGAACTAATATTATACCAGAATAAAAACATCGTCTACAGTGTGAGGTCAATGCTTCTATGTACCAATGTGGTAACCATGAAAAAAACAACAACACGCGATTAAATCATAGGTAATAATACTGAATTATGGGTAACTTAAATCACGTGACATGTGTGGTAGCAATTATTAAACGGTACTTAAACATCGATTTTGACCATGGTTACGAAAAATCTCGCTGGTGTTTATATTACTTTTTCCTTCGCTTTGGCATCGGAAGGTATTTACTATTTTTTTTTTCTTTCAATTTTCTGGTCAAAGTTTAAATCAGACTGTAACGCTCACATTATTAGCGACTGTTTATACTTCCTTGGCGATAAATAACATGTTAGCGTACTGTGTTTGAGCACAAGTCACTTCCGGGTTTAAAAATGTATTACTGTTTTCTTCTGAAAAATAAAACTTGCTAAAGAGATAGGAAATCAGTGTACACGTGACCGATCGTTTGGCCATCTGTGTAGCTGAAGTCAGTAAGGACAAATCATCAAGGTATAATGATTACACAATGTGTTGGTCTGTCCATATGACAACTACCATTTACCGTTGGCTGTGTTAGTATAGGACATCGACACGATTTTCTACACAGTTCAGAGGTATATACACACTGCTTACGCCTTACGATTACCGATTCATGCCAAGAAAAAAACAATAACATTTAAAGATTCGGCAATCAATTACCAAGAGTGGTATAAACAATAAAATACAAATCATTGCAGTATATCAGTAATAAAACAAACTCAAAATTACAACATGATCTATGGCATATAATACCTGAAAAATACTGGACGTTATTTCGAAAACATCTGCAAAATATAAAATGTGAGTGAAAACATACGATGGGGAAGACAGTAATGTGACATTTACCAGTTTCCACTTGCTACGCTCAAAGCAGAATCAGTTGATTCTTTTCAACTTTTTCAGCAGGATTGTGTATCAAATATTTTAACTAGAATTTCATGTTTCACAAGAAAAATATGAAAGGTTTACTACTGTAAATACACACTGTTTTGCTGAATGCTTATATTACTAACAGAGCGAAAAAACACAACCGTTTTGATTGTTTTAGTGTTTTGTCAGGTTTTGATTGGACCAACTGGTATAGAATATGCCAAACCAGGAGAAGATGCAACCTTGGACTGCTACATAGACTGGCAGTCAGTTTCAAAAACTGTACATTGGGTTAAAATTGGTGAGAGCGCTGCACTAGCTGAAATCACAGACCAAGGTTCTACTATTAACGTAGGTGAACCAACCAATTATAGTGTTATATACACAGCGCCATACAGATATGACTTGCTTATATATAACGTGGAATTAGGTGACGATGATGGAGAGTATGACTGTTATTTTAGTTTAGACGGAAATGACGATGAGGAAGTAGGAACACTTACTGTACTCGGTAAGTAATGATAATCAAATTTCAAACGTGAACATTATTGTTGTGCAACACAACAGCAAAATATTCTGGTTGGCATATTGTAAGTGGAATCTCCCACGTTTTTATTACAATTCTTGGGGTGTGCATTCACAAACTATAGTTAATGTACAGAGACAAATAAGCAAATTTTGATTGGGTATAGCAAATGTGCTCTACCTAATCAAAATTACATTTTGTTTATATATTCCAACAGATCAGATAGATTCGATCAGCATAGTTGGGTACAGTGATGATGCAGTTGTAACAGTTGATGAAAATGAAGCAAGGGAGTTTACCTGTGAATCCACTGATGGTAACCCAGCAGCTGAGTTAACATGGACAATAGGTGGTAAAGATATCACAGAATACAGTACATATACAACACAAGTCAGTGATAATAATGACAAACTACATAACAGTATGAGTGTTTTGAATTATACATTCAATGCAGCAGATAATGGAGAGGCTTTGAAATGCCAAGGATTTCAACATGAAGACTTAACAGTTAGAAATGCCCGTATTTACATGAATGTAAAACGTAAGTATTATCCCCTGATATCCATTATAATCCATTATAAACCTGATACAATATGTCATGAAGGTGATATGCACAATTGCGTGAAAAACATTGGGTATATAGATCTGAATGTTATGCATGTCAGCATGAATGTCAACACATTCATATTTGTAAGTCATATTTTTATGATCCAGCATATAATTAATGTAATTTCGATTAATATGTACTTCTAATAGAGCAAATATGGTATTGATTATGACATGATTTTTTTTCATTTTCAGATATACCAATAATCTCCGGAATTGGAGTTATTTCATGGAGTGATGGTGGCGTGATTAATGTGGAATGTGCAGATACAGCCAATCCAGAGTCAGATCAATATGAATGGGAAGCCGAGGGTGGACAGACTGGCACTACATATGAGAACACATGGGAACTGATAGATACTGGAGATGATGGCAAAGAAGAGATTACATGTACATCTACAAACACTATGGGATCTAGTACATCATATACCCAAATAGTCTACAAACCATGTAAGTATACAATGTGTTCACATTATAATGACATCAGAGGCAATATGTACAGCTACAAACACTATGGGATCTAGTACATCATATATCAAAATAGTCTACAAACCACGTGAGTATACAATGTGTTCACATTATAGTGACATCAGAGGCAGTATGTACAACTACAAACACTATGGGATCTAGTACATCATATACACAAATAGTCTACAAACCATGCAAGTATACAATGTGTTCACATCATAGTGACATCAGAGGCAATATGTACAGCTACAAACACTATTGGATCTAGTACACCATATACCCAAATAGATTACAAACCATGTAAGTAT